TAGAAGATAGGGTAATCTTGTGATATCCACTAACTAGCTCCTGGGCCATTAAAATATTATCAACAATCCTTCTTCCCTCAATAAAAGCAGACTGATTCCCACTAACAACAGTAGCCAGGACCTTTTTCAATCTATTTGCAAGCAATTTTGCAATAATTTGGATATTATGTTCACACAAGAGATTGGCCTAAACTCTTTCAATCTACAAGCAGAGGCAACTTTAGGTATTAATGACACAGCAGTCGAGTTAATACTACTAGGGAGCTTACCTGTAGAAAAGAATTCCAAGACCCCAGAAGTAATGTCTGCTCCCACAATCCCCCATGTCCTCTTGTAAAACCCTGCTGAGAAACCATCAGGGCCTGGGGCTCTGTGAGTACTCATACCAGCAACAACCTGTCTCACATCATCTGCAGTAAATGTCTGACAAAGGAAGACCTTCTGCTCCTCACTTAATCTATTCAACACCAGATCCTCAAGAAACTGCTTGTCAGGGTGCACCTCAGGGTCAACAAACCCAAATAGGCTCTTATAAAACCTTACTGCCTCAGCAGCAATATCCTCCATTTCCACTATCTCCTCACCCCCATCAAGCACTAACTTCCTTATTGCCTTTTTAGCTGTCTTTATTTTAACTAACTGATGGAAAAACCTGGTACTTTGATCCCCCAGCTTCAGATGGTTAACCCGAGCCTTCTGCCAGTAAAAACTTTCCTCATCCCTTTTAAGTTGTCCCAGCTTAGAATTTAGATCCGCAACCATAGCAAAAAGAGCACCAGAGGGATCAGAGAGAGCACTTTCTTGAGCAGCAAGTAATTGCCTTTCAGTACTCCTAACCTGTCCACTGATGTCATTATAGACTTCTTTATTCAACCTCTTCAAACCCTGTTTAACTGCATTCAGTTTGATCTTTATTTTCTGGAATAGATCTCCCTGAGCAGGTGTTGCCCATCCTTCTTCAACTATGTGGTAGAAATCAGGATGGTCAGCCCACAACTCAAAGTATCTAAAGGGTTTTGGGAGGGTTTTCTGCTCTGGTTGTGTATGAACACATACCCCACAGTGATCTGAGAAGGTACCCACCAGAACCTCAATACTACAGTAAGGGAAACAATCAAACCACGCCTCATTCACCAATGCTCGATCAAGCTTCCTGGCAATTGGGTTCTCCTGTTGCCTATTCGTCCATGTAAAGAACGGCCCACTAGATCTGTGATCAACCAACTCCATTGCATCCACCCAACTCTTGAATTCCAACATACAGCTAGTCATCATGGTCATATTGGAAGTTTCCAATGGTGACAAAACAGAGTTAAAATCCCCCCCCTACAATCCATGGGACTGTGGTTAGCTTGAATCTAGATAAGTCTTTGTAGGTATCCCTCCTCTCTGACTCTTCATTAGAAGCATAAACAGCTGTGATAAAACAACTAGCTCCACCCACTTCTTTAGCCAAACAGTGCACATAGTTCTTCCTGGCAGCAAGTACCCTAAATTCAATATCCGAGTTCCAGAATAACCAAATCCTGCCTAGATCACTGTCTCTGTAATTAAGAAATTTCTTCCATCCTATACAAAAATCCTCCACCGTTTTATTGGACTTTGCTTTCCTAACCCTTGTTTCTAGAATGGCCACCACATCTACCTTATGTCTACTTAGGACTTGTGAGAAGTCCCTTCTCTTAGAGGGTTTGTTAAACCCTCTAACATTCCAGAAAAGAATCTTCATCCTGGGGAGGATAGAGAACCCCCACCCTTCCTACCACCCTTCTTTGGAGCAGCTTGCAATTGTGTAATCTCCTTATCCCCTAGTCCTTGCAAAGCGGCAAATGATTGATTAGTTTGCAAAACACTAGTAGGACTAGGAAGGGGAGACCAGCATCGTGGCCTAGCTCCATTCACCACCTTCTGAAACTCATCCTCCGTGGGAAGCACTGGTGAACTGCAACCTGCTACTGCCTGAAACGAATGCTCTAAATTGATACCCACACAATTAGTCCCAACCATGAGATTAGTGCTCAACTCCATATCATCCGCAACCACTTCTTTTCCTTTATCCTGCCCTGTTGGGATACCAACCTGAATAGGAGTACTGTTAGTAACCATTGTCTTCTTCACCCAGACACGCTCAACCACATTGTTTCCTTGAGCCCCTTGTGCCTTCACAATTTGTTCCCTTTTGCGACAACCACATTTCTGCCCAAATGATTTGCACTGATCACACACAGGCGGCAAGTGACTGTATGTAACCCCCACCTTAATTGAGCGATTCTCAGTTGGCCATATCAGAATATTATCCGGAAATTGAGCTGTAGCCTTCAATTCCACGAGAGCTTTCGCACATCCCAGCCTGCCACCCATCCTTGTCGTATGATCAACTCCCAATGGAATCCCAAGGAAACTCCCCAACCTACTCATACCCTGAAAGTTCACATACTCCAAAGGGACGTTGGTAAATCGTACCCAAATCGGCAGAGCCTTATTCCCCAAATCCTCAACGTCAATCCCCGGGGTCCAAGGTCGAAGGTATAACATGTTATCCGAATGGAACCAAGGCCCACTCTCCAAGATCCAATCACACGTTTCCTGGGATGGAAGTTGAAGAAGAATCAATTGATTACCAAGCAAAGAAACTCGAACCAAACCGTCCCTCCCCCAGAGCCTGTTCGCCCATCGTCGTAGCTCCAGAAGAGGAGGAAGAGAAGAATGGAGGAACTGCCAACCAAGCTGTGCTTCCATCGAGCTGCACCTTCATCACTCACCACCTGCGGCATTCGAATCCCTCCTTTGAACAGCTCCGGCGGAATGTATTCCAGCCGGTTAGCCTCAGCAATGCCAAAAAGCGCTGCCCAAGGCTTGACCGGAACGCCCTCCTTCTCCATCCCACTTACCACAGCATCCATTGGTCTCGAAGCAAGAAAAACGCACCGGCGCAGATGCCGGCGCGACCAGCAAGGCCCGCGTCGGAACCCTAGCTAGCCAAGAAACTGGGAGAATTCTCTCACTAACGTTTCCAGTGACCAAACATGAACATTTTTTGTAATCTCAGTGACCAACCATTAAATTAGCCCGTAATAGAAATAAGACAAAAGTGAATGCGTGAGATTGGGTGGTTAAATTCGAAAATGAGACATTACGGCCAATTGTCTCATTTTATGAAACGTGTAAATTAAAACGAGTCAGTTTGAATTATCTTCTCCACACTCAAAACAATTGAAATTAACTCAAACAAATCAATTCCAAATTCCCCAGGCAAATTCATCCATACAAAGATTTTGCTGACAAACGGGTCGATTTTATCCATTTGTCTCAAAATGACGATAATTTGATCAAATTGATTCGTTACAATTCCTCATCCAAACGACTCATAACAATTTTTTTTTTTAAATTTTGACTTTTCAGGCACTTGATGTGGCACGTGGCTAAAACTGCCGGTGTTATGCCTGCAATTAAACCGCAAGGGTTTAAACCGATAAAAAGGACAAGTACGGGGCTTGTAGAGAAACGTTTCACGTTTAGGGTGCCTAGATGGATAAATGGTAAAGTTTGGGGACTAAAATTGGTCTTCGTTCGAAAGAAAACCTTGCTTAACCCCTTCCCCAAGCACTCAGCTGCCTCAGTCACAGACTGACAGTGAGTCACAGTGATCTATCTTCCTCCCCTTTTCCGGTGAGCCACAACTTCTACGGCGGAAATCGCAGATACTCGACACCGCCTAGCTTCTCCGGTAAGCTCCCAACTTTCCCGCCGTTGTCACTATTTTGCATTTCTCGTTTTCCATCTGTTCCATCTGTTGCAACATTTTTGTTGTTGTTTTTCGTCTGTTCAACAATGGCGTCGTCGTTTCCTTACAAAAAAAAGAAAAAAAACAATGGCGTCGTCGTTGTCCCATGACTTCGGCCTCTGGACTTCCGATAGGAACTCTCTTCTTTCACCGTTTGCTTTCCTTGATGAGACATTTCCCCGTTTTTGTTTGTTTTGCTGTTAGAAATTGATGTGTACGAGTGAAGTATATGTAAAATGGCTTCCAAAGCAAATGTGAGGAGGATCAACGGATTTGCTGACTAAATCCACTGGTCTTCTGGTTCAATTTTACAGTAAGATGGCTTCTCTGGAATTTGTGAGGAGGAACAGCAGATTTGCTTACTCCTTCGGCCGTGCTCATTCGATTTACACTCGAGTCGAGAGAAAGGAACTGTACATGGCCCCGACTATCGTGCCGGTTCCGAATGGTGTTGCAGTGAGAAAACAACAACTGGTTGGCGTTTCCGGTTTACGGCAGTGGAGGCACAGTAGTGCAATTTTGGCTCCAAGACATGTTAGGGCAGAGTTCTTTAACCCTCTGAGGTTCAGGGTCAATGCATCTACAGCCACACCGAAGCAAACATCTGATGCTGAAAAGAGAAGTGATTCTAATGTCAGGATTAGTATAGGTTTCGAACTAATGAAAATCGATGTCAGGATTAGTATACGGTTATTGTTGAAATTGGCTGGAGGTTCTTGTATCTCTAGAAGGGAGAAACTGCAGATTTTACGAACCGCTGGAGACCTTTTTAGGTTTGTTCAATTGGCGGTCGTCGGCCCTTTGATCATTTGTTTGCTTCCTCTATATCCGAACCTGTTACAGAGCCTGCTTCCATCCACCTTCCGAAGAAACATGGAAGACCAGGTAAGGAAACAATATGAATAATGATGAAGATTGGATTTTTTTTGGTCCCTTTAACTCATATGTGTCCTCTCATTTTGATTTATACAGGAATTCAATTCAAGAAGCCTAAATGCTTGGATTGGGTATGCAATTGGTCTTCAAAGTTCGGTTGAGAAAATGGGAAGCGAGGTTCAATACTTACATTATGGCGAGAACACGAAAGTTGTTCATGAGCTGAATAAACTTTTGATCAAAGTAAGCTGGCTGTCTTCTTTTTTTAAAAGGGCTGTCTATTTATTTTAATGTGTTCACATGTTTGTCTTGACTAGGTCAGAAAAGGGTGTTCTGTTTCGAATGAGGAGATTCTAAGCTTTCGCATGCTATTCAATTATGACCTGGCTTTGGATTATATTAGCAGGTTTGATCTATTTTCGATTGCTTAGGTTATTTGCTTCACTTCAGATTGCTTATGTTCTTTGCTTTCTTTCAATTTTCCTCTTCCTTGATAAATGGTTGTTTCTATCAGGGCACGACTAGCCAATATGTGCATGTTCATGGGAATCCGTCCTTTTGGAACAAGTTCTTACTTGCGATTTAAGCTTCGGAGAAGACTTCAAAAGTGAGATTCACCATTCATTTCCCCTTTGGCTCTCGTGTAAATTAGAGAACAGCTCCTTTATGATTATTTGAGCTCTTTAGCAATGTTAATGAGGAAGAGGAAGTGTGTATGAACTTGGCATGTTACTGGTTCTTTCTCTTTCCAGCATTAGAAAGGATGATAGGATGATTCGAGAAGAAGGAGTTCATACACTTACTGAGGAGGAGTTGTCTGCTGCATGCAGAGCACGAGGGATGCTTTGGGTACTTTCTCTTGAGGAAATGAGGCAACAGGTTCTTACATTTACCACCCATTCTAGAGTTATTGTTTGTGAATGTAATTGAATCTCTTCCATGTTTGGTAAGACGCTGTTAACATGGAAATGTGTCTTTAGACTTGAGATGAGTTAGGGCTTTTGTAGTATAACTACATTGGGAACTCTGTTATGTATTTTTGTGCAGCTCTGTGATTGGTTGGATTTGTCTCTTGATCATTGGGTGCCATCTTCTCTCCTAATTCTCTCCAGGTGACATGAAGCTCTATTTATGTATTTCATTTATACCTATTAAGCTCAACTAGCAGTTTCCCCAGCCGTTTGGTCGAATGAATTTTTTAATAGAAATCCGTCCGAGTAGATGGGGTGAGCAAGGCGGGTTTGGCCGAGTGGGCGGGTTTGCTAGTGGCATAATTGTTATTTCCTATTTCTTTTAGAAATCCTACTTAATGGTTCAAAACATTACTTTTCAGATTATGCAATTATTATCAATAAACTATCAAATTCCTAATCTCATTTCTCTCTCTCATTCTTCTCCAATTCTCTCAAATCCCTAATTTCTTCTCTTCTCGATCCCTAAATCTCCAAATGGGAATTCTAGTTTCTATCATAAGCTATCAGAGCTAGGATGAGCTCGTCACAGCTCTTCGACTCGGAGTGGGATCGACTAGAAGAACTCCTATAATAGGTGTTAGACCGTCGGACCCAATAGCCGCGGATGAGGAAAGGGAAGGTTGAGGAGACCGCGGTACATGGCACGACAGCCGTGAAGGCTGATGGAGGCCGAGCCACACCACCACCACAGTCGCCGAGGGGGACCGCAGAGACAGAAGGTACCGGAGCCTTGGCGGGAGGCAACGCGCTTCCAGAGGTGTCGCCGGTCATCTCGCTACACTTAGTACAGGGGAAATCCTTGCCGAGAATGCTGCATTTCCGAGCTCAGGTGGAAGGCCGACCAGCTATGACTCTGGTAGACAATGGCACGTCCTTGAACTTTGTCGTTGTGGAGTTCGTGAAGACGTTGAGGCAGGAGGCAACACTGGTGAACCAGATCATTGTCAAGGTCGCCAATGGGGTGTGAGCAGGTATACAGGAGTATTAACTTCGATATTCATGGGATGTAGATCACTACAGACTTGTATGTTGTGCGTTCGACGTGATCTTAGGCATTTTGTGGTTGAGGAGTTTAGGTCCTGCTACCAGTGACTGGAGGAGCTTGACAATGTGTTTTAAATGGAGGGATAAGGAGTGGACTTAGCAGTGTCTCATGTGGCGATGAGACCGATTTCCATCTGAGATTGCGAGCTTGAAGGAGAGGCCGAATTGGCCGTTCTTTGCTGGCCGCTAGCCGATATGGGGAAGTCGGCGATCAAAGCCAAGGTGCACATGGTGTTGGATTAGTAACCCGAGGTGTTTGAAGCCCCTACCACTTTTCCTCCAAATCGATAGGTTGATCTCCAGATTCAGTTAAAAGAGGTGGTCAAAGTAGTAAATGTCCGACGGTACAGTTATGGGAATTCGCAGAAGGAGGAGATCGAGAGCCAGGTGGTCGAGATGCTTGTGACTGGATTGATCCAGCCTAGTACCAGTCCTTTCTTCTGGTCGGTGCTACTAGTTAAGAAGAAGGACATAACTTGGAGGTTCTGCATCGATTATCGAGCTCTCAATGAAGAGACAATGAAGGACATGTTTCCTATTCCGACTGTTGATGACATGTTGGACGAGTTACACAGATCAACCTACTTCACCAAGCTGGATTTGAGAGCTGGGTATCATCATATTCGGATGTAGGAGGAGGATGCACATAAGAAAACTTTTAGGACGCATAATGGACATTACGAGTACCTGGTGATGCCTTTCTAGTTGTGTAATGCTCCATCCACCTTCCAGGCGGCCATGAACTACGTATTCCGACCTCTACTGCGACAGTATCTTCTAGTTTTTTTCAATGACATTCTCATATACAATCCTACAGGGAGGACCATTTGCAGGCAGTGTTTGAGATACTGCGAAAGCATCAGTACTAAATTAAGGCTTCCAAATGCGCTTTTGGAGTTTAAGAAGTGGAGTATCTGGGACATATAGTAACACCGCAGGGAGTACATATAGATCAGTCCAAGGTACGCACGATGGTCGAGTGGCCGATAACGACCAATGTAACAAAACTGATAGGGTTCTTGGGCTTAACAGGCTACTACAGGAAGTTCGTAGGGTTATAGCATGATTGTTAGGCCACTGACGAATTTGTTAAAGAACAGAGGGTTCGAGTGGACCCCAACGGCAAATTCTGCGTTTTAGGTACTAAAGCGGGCTATGACCACCACCCCTACTTTAGCTATGATGGACTTCTCCAAGCCTTTTGTGATTGAGGGTTATGCATCATGAAAGAGAATTGGAGCGGTGCTGTCTCAGGACTGACACCTGATCGCCTTGATGAATCGGACTTTGGCGTCAACCAAGTAGGTACAGTCGACTTATTTGAAGGAGACGCATGATATCATTTCAGCAGTATAGACATGGAGGCCCTACTTATTGGGGCATAAGTTCCAAATCTACACGGATCATCAGAGCCTGAAGCATCTCCTAGGGCATAAGGTTATACTCCAGATCAGCACATGTGGCTCTTAAAGTTGCTCGTGTATGACTACGAGATTCACCACCACCCAGGCCCACCCACGTGGTGGCAGATGGTCTATCACGGAGTTAGGGCAGCGAGGTGTTGGCGGTAGTGACAGGCCCGGTACCCTAGTTATGGGAAGAGTTGCAGGCTCTCGCAGAGTTTGATCCTTACCAGTAGGAATGCCAGAACATTGCAATGAGCACGGAGTCAGGAAAATACCTCTTCCGCGAAGGTCTGGTGTCCTTCAAGAGGCGTTTGGTCCTTCCGCCCAACTCATCGTTGGCCACTATGATTTTGTTGGAGTTCCACAATTCGTCATTTGGTGGGCATTCTAGGGTGCAGCGGACGTTTCGCATGATTAGGGCACATTTTTATTGGCCCCAGATGGGTCGAGAAGTGAAGGACTATGTGGCTTCCTGCTATATGTCCAGAGGGTGAAGGCATCTCAGCTGAGACCAACTGGGCTTCTACAGCCATTACCGGTGTCAGAGCGGGTATGGGAGGACATCAGTATGGAATTCATTGTGGGGTTACCACCATCCAGGGGGAAGAATGTGTTGTTTGTGGTGGTAGATCGCCTTACGAAGTATGCTAACTTCATGACCCTAGCCCATCCATACACGGCTCGGGTGGTGGCAGAGTAGTTCGTGAGTGGGTAGTGTGACATCATGGTTTCCCCTGGACTATTGCACCGAACAGGATTCCGTCTTCCTGAGTAATTTCTGGCAAGAGGTGTTTAATATGGCACATTTTACATTCCAGATGAGCTCGACACATATCATCCTCAGACAGATGGACAAACGGAGGTGATTAATCGACATTTGGAGCAGTATCTCAGTTGTTTCGCACATCAGCGGCTGAAGAGTTGGTTGGCCATGGTCCCATGGGCCGAACTATGGTATAACACCACCTACCATCGGTTCATCAGGACGATACCGTTCGAGGCGCTATACGGCCGACCGCCTCCTTCCTTGGTGCATTACCGTGATGTCACCTGTACGGTCAATGTAGTAGACCAGTGGTTGGGTGCTAGAGCTAGGGCTGGCATTTCGGTTTCCGGTTAGCGCGTAACCGTCGATTTTAACCGAAAACCGCCGGTTACCAGCTAACCGAAAACCGACCGGTTACCTTGACTATCGGTGGTCGCATGGGAAAAGAAAGGGGTCGGTTGACCAAGTAAACGATGGTGGTTAACCGCGGTTATCCCACTAGCCGGGCCCAACCGATACCCACTTAACCTTCCCCAAAATCCTGACCAAATTCATCGCCATTCTCACATCTTGAATCTAAATTTTTTCCCAAATCTAGGAAGAAGAAGAAGAAGAGGCAGTCTCTCAACAATTTCCCTCACCCCGCCGCCTCCACCCTCCCATCGACCCCGCGTTCCATCTCCGAGCGCCGTCTCCCAGCGACGTGCGACATTGATCCACGATCCCCCGACAACCCCCTCGACGGCTCGAACCCGGCGACACCCCTTTCGGTTAAACCAAAACCGATCGACTGACAACCCTAGCTAAAGACAAGGCTTAGGAGCAGTTGAAGACTAATTTGGTCACAACCAATAATCGGATGAAGCGGTTGGCGGACTCGGGTACGAGAGAGGAGTTTGAGGTTGGTGACTTAGTGTTGCTTCAAATGCACCCTTATCGGTAGGCTTCAGTGTTCAAGATCTTACCAGAAGCTTGTCTTGTGCTTCTTCAACCCCTATGAGGCTCTGCAGAAGGTAAACCCAGTAGCTTACCAACTGTAGTTACCGGCAGATGCTCGCATTCATACGACGTTCCATATATCTCTGATGAAGCGGTATAGAGCGCATACAAATCTGGTGGACACTACAACACCTCTGGTCAGTGCGGATGGAGACTTGGAGTTGACACCTTTAAAGGTGTTGGGGACACGATGGAGTAAGAAATGAGGACTCTTGGTAGAAGAGAGTCTAGCCCTATGGAAACACTGCAAGCCGGAGGATGCGACATCGGAGGAGACTTTAGCGCTACACCAGAGGTACCCCACCTTCGACCTTGAGGGCAGGTCGATTCTAAAGAGGGAGGGGATAATAGAAACCTGTTAGAGCGGATGGGGTGAGCGGGGCGGGTTTGGCCAAGTGGGCCGGGTTTGCTAGTGGCATATTTATTATTTCGAAGTTCTTTTAGAACTCCTAATTAAGGGTTCATAATAGTAAATTTTCAGATTATGAAATTATTATTAATAAACTATCAAATCCCTTATCTAATTCTCTCACTAGTTCTTCCCCAATTCTCCCAAATCCCTAATTTCTTCTTCTTAATCCCTAAATCCCCATGTGGGAATTCTAGTTTCTACCATTTTTTTACAATGTCAGGTGTGCCAGTATAAGTGTGATCCATGATCTCAGTGGTTGCACACATATAATGCCGGTACTTATATAAAGTCCAGCATATACATTTACGAATAAAAACGTTAGCCTGCTCAATTCAATGTGTTGATGTCTGCTTCTTTATTAGTAGGGTTGTCCAATTGTTGTGAATTGATTCTCTGTTTATGTTGACATGTAATCATTAGCAAACACTTATATCTCTTTGACGTAAAAGTTCAAGGGATATCTTTGTTAGATCCGTGTTGAAAATTCCTCTTTTTATTATTATTGATAATTTCCTTCATTTGTCTTACCACTAATTACCAGTCCATTGCTACAATGTCAATATGTGTAAGCGTTAATATAAGCATGACTCATGATCTCAGTAGTTGCATACATGTATCGGTGGTAGTTATATAAATGTCATCTTATACATTTACGGACAAGATGTTAGCTCGCTTAATTCAATTTATGTTGATTCCTGCTCCTCTATTATAGGTTGTCGAATGTCTGTGTACTGATTCTAGATTTATGTTGACATGTAACCATTAGCAAACACTTACTACTCTTTGAGGTAAAAGTTAAATGTATTTGCCAAGTTTCTATGTTTTTTTAAGGTAACATATTTGTCAAGTTAAATGCATAAAATCTTTGTTAGATCCATACTCTTCTATATATTTATGGGTGGATGTTCATATTTTATTTCTAAATTTCTAAATGGATTACGTTTGGCCATTATTTTCAGGGCTTTCACAGTGACAGGATACCATACTCTAGTTTTGCAGCCACATAAAAGAGAATGGACCCCACAGAATGAGTTTAATGAACTCAGTCGCGCTTTGGCGATTCTAGCCTCAGAATCAGTAAGCATTTTCAGTTGTTTCTTGTGTTTTATAGACTTATTGCTCTAATCGAAGTTTGTGTATTAACCTCTTCTTAATTTGATTTGATTTGGTTTCTCAACTTGCAGGTAGGTGTGGTGGAGGATGACAAGGTGGCAGAAGCAGCCAGTTACCTAAGGAGCACCCTTGGTGATACTGGAGTTGAGCATCTGATATCTTACTTTGGTAATTTTCTTAATCTTTAGTTGTCCTTTAAACTCGTACTCAATGGCAACTTAATTGTTCTTTCTTTCTCTGATTTGTTTCTATGCTCATCAGGTAAGCTATATGCAGAAGACATTGTTAAATTGGTCCATGAGTCAGGGCTACATCAGGACTTAGAAGATGATTGAGTACACGAGCAATCATAATGTTTTAAGTATTACTTCAAGTAGTTTTTGGAACCGCCTACTTGACCGTAGTTCTTCACATGCTTCTCGAGAGATGAGTTGTCTGATTGAGAGTCATATACTGAGTATGCTAAAAATGTCATGGAAGGAAAATGATTGAACTTGTTATTTGAAGCATTGAGAACAATTTTTCAAATGTTTCTATGAAGTGCATTAATTCAATCCTAGCAAAGGCTAATGGTACATTGAGCAATGTCCTGACATCAGTGGCGGAGCTAGCTTGGAAGAGGGTGGGTCCCCGGACCCACCTTGGCTCGAGATTAAGTGCTTGTTTGGAAGTTGCAATTGTTAAATATATATATTTATACGAAATCCAATCTCACTATACAAGTAACAATCTCACGTAAATTCTCGCAACTTCAAAACGACCCCTAAGACATAAAAATAACAGTATTTGTACGAAACCCCTAATGTTGAAATCAAACCCCTCATGTTCACTACTTTTCTACTAACATATTGTAGAGAACTTTATAGCACATATTAACTTTACATATTATGTAATTAACTCTAGATTTTTACATAAAACTACATCTCTAATGGTTTATTCTTAGTTTTTTAATTTATAATTTAGGATAAATTTCTCCATCCTCAAACGAAAATCAGTCGACAAACTATAAAAACACATCGTGGGTCATGTAAATATTAATTATATTTATCATATATATTTTTATTTTCACGTCGGGCCCACCTTGAATGAAATCCTGGCTACGCCACTGCCTGACATATATATCAATCGAATCCAATTCGTTGAGGTTTCCTTAAAGCTATAGAACTTCGGTTGTTCTTCGTTGGATTGGCACCATTTTCACCTATGACTCTTGTTATTGCATGCCAAGGCCATCCAATACAGAACACTATAGAAGTTTTGGTGCTCATTGTTTGCTTGTGGATGTGAAGTATTGTTCAGAGCTTTATACTACCTCTCATTAGCGAATCACAAACTTGGTCAGTGAACTCAGGGCTTTTGATAAAGTGGTGATTGTTTTGTAGTTTCGTGTGGTAAAAAACTTGTTTGCTTGGGAAAGGGGTTTCTATTTGCGTCTTCTGTAATCTTAAATATGCTTCTTTTCAGTTGTGCCAATAAACGAGTCAATCAGCAAACAATGGCTTGGTTCAATATGAAGTTTTAAGGTTTGAATCTCTTAATGATTACTACTAGCCTATGTGACCATAATAATAATAATAATAAATGTGACTCAAACATATCTTCATAGAACTTGTTTTTCTGATGTGTAGAACTAAACCTTGTTGGATATGAACATTTAGGAATTGTGGATGTGATCTTAGCCCGCCGCAATGACTCTCATGGAGGAGTACATGCGACAATAGTGGATGTTGCGTGGAAATTCCAGACTTTCCAAGGGAAGATTGAGCCAAATGTGCCACCATTGAAATTGGAGAAACTCCAAATGTGTTTCCAGCACTACCAGTCGAAGAAGCATTGGAGAGCCAAAGATTCGAGGAATACGAGTCAACAGACAAATGGAAAGATCCTTTGTCCGATGAATTTCATGTGAGATTTTCCTTCGGCCTGGGTGTTAGAAGGAAATCGATATGAGAATCTGTGAATTAGGGATGAGAAGAATTTGAAAGAAATTGGGAATTAGAGAGAAAAAGATTAGGAATTGGGTTTTCAATGATATTCTACTTGTAATTCTGAAGTTGACGTTCTGACTATTTAAGCAGTAGTTCTGAAAAGTAAAACAGAATATAACAAGTATGCCACTCAGCCCAACCCGACTTCACTCGGCCTTATAAAACCCGTGCATTACATGGATTTCTATCGTTCCATCCCTCTCCAGAACCAACATTATCCTCAAGGTAGAAAGTCTGGTAGCCTTGCTAGATGGTCGCAGTATCCTCCCATGTCGCATCCTCTGAAGCCTAATGCCAACACACTATCAAGCGCCCCTACATCAACTTCCCTCCCATGCACATCCATCTCGTCTCCAAGACCTTCAATGATTCCGACTCGGGATCGCCATTAGTTGTAACCGATGGCGCAACCATCTCCACTCGATTCGACACCCCTGTACCTCTTCAACAACAACAATTGGATGTCGAATGGATACGAGCTTCAGCTGGAAGCTTTAGATTCTAAGCCATCAGATTGATCTACTCTATCATACAGACTGAAGTAGCATGCCACCAACTTGTGGTAGGCCCTTTAAAACAACAACGCATGCCGATAGAGATGTAGCTTAAGCAGAACCATCACCCACAACAAAATATTCCTTGATCGCCATTAACTAGATTGGCCTTCACCTAATCTACAGCTTCAACCCTCGCAGATAACCACCACTCAACAACATCTACGATACTGGTCCCACTGCGTTATAACACTAGGGATAGTGGCCTGCACCCATAAAGGCCTCGAAGGGGCCACCCGTATGGTCCTATGGTAAGCAGTATTACACCACAACTACGCCCATGACAACATTGCCAACCAGGTCCTCGGCTGGTGATGAGCAAAACACCAGAGATACTGCTCCAAGTGGTGGTTGACCACCTCTGTTTGTCCGGCTGTCTAGGGATGATATGTTGAACTCATTCTTACTGCGGTCTCTTGGCCACACCAAAAACATCCTGCCAGAAATGACTCAAGAAGAGAGTCTCGCCCACTCACAATCATTCGGGGAAACCCATGGTGGCATACTACCCCCATCACGAACTGCTCAGCTACGGATTTGGTTATATACGGATGCGTTAGAGCCATTAAGTGAGCATACTTCATGAGTCGTTCCACTACAACAAATAACATTGTCTTAGTGCCTTACCACCCGAAGGAGGTAGTCCCACGATAAAGTCCATGCTGCTATCCTCCCAAACTCACTCTGGTACCGATAAGGTTTGCAGAAGACTAACTGGTATCAACGTCGAGGACTTCACGCTATGGAACGTGTCGTAGGAAGCAACATATCGCTCACCTCCGATGGCATCTAGAGCCAACAAAAGTGTGCATAAATCTTCCCCAAGGTCCTCTCATAACCGGAATGCCCTCCTAATGGTGATTCATTGAACTCATGTGGGACTGTAGTAATCAAGGATGACCCTATAGGTAATATAATCGAATTGCGAAAGAACACCAGCCTATGCCAAAAGGTATAATGGCCAGGTTCCTCACTTATAACCCTCAGGCAACACTCATACATATAAGGACTAGTCTCTATGGTTGTCCGAACCCCGGAGCTCATGCCACAACTGGGGTACAAGGAAACTAATGTCGTGTAGCAGGCATCTCTTTAGGCATGTATGGGAGGCTTAGCTATCTTTCTATGCACGACTAAGGATGATGCTTGATTCTTAGATCATCGATATTGTATACTATGGTTATGGTTTGTAGAAGCCAATAACAATTAACAATATGCTATCCTAACTTCCTTATTCTTCATTGATTAGGTTATGGCATAAACTGAAAGCACACATTAGCTAGTCAAATTTCTATGGCAAGAGGCGCATGCACTGGTAGATAGGGAATCTTAATAGAAGATGCATTGAATCATGTTGATAGTGAGAATGCATGATCGTATAGAATTGCTAACTACACATTCCTTTCATTTCTTGCATCTTTGTTTATTTCTTTGTTGGATTAGTAGTTAGTGATCTCGCATAAGGGCAGCTCAAACCAATTAGTTTACTTTCTTGCATTGCATACTCGAACACATTAGGTTAGGTTTGAGTAGTTACTATCAAAAAGACCATGCGAAGCAAGATGGAAGAAAGATGGGCCGAAGAGCATCAAAGGATGAAGCAAGTGGCATAAACTCCCCTCCACTAAGATACTCTCAACAAAGAGCTCGTATAATATAGGATTGTGAAGGAGTGGATCTAGAAGATACGAAGCTACAAAGAGAGAAGTATGGAGATTGCCTACTATTGAGGACATTGAGCTTGCAACTTCCTAAATGAAAGAAACCAAATCAATTCAAAACCTCCTAGGAGCATCGATGCTAGCATAAAAAAAGAAGGCCCAAAGCAATTGTTATAAGATGTTCAAATCATCTCCCGAAGATGATAAAGGAAGTTCCATTGAAGTGCGTGAAGGTTTTGAAGGGATCAAGGTACAAGAAGGGCTTATGGAGCATAAATATTTTATGGAGAATGAAGGAGAGGAATATCATCGCAATGCTAACACATTAGGTGACAAAGAAGATGAAGAGATGGTGAAGATGTTGACCATGGAATGGAGTACCATCTCAAGGCCAAAGAGTTTAGAGAAGAAGAATATGAGTTTATAACTCATTCTTTTGGAGAAGAAGGCAAGAGACTACCTCAAGAAGATGTGAAACCTACTCACAACCTGGTGAAATTACTTTACAAGCCATGGAAGCCATGATCGAGCATCCCCAACCTATTGTGGAGCGTTAAGAAGAAGATCATATGATGATCAACTCACATGAAAAATATTTAAAGGCCAAGGCATATAAAGATGAAGATCAATTAATGGCCAAGGACTTTGATTATTTTAATGATGATCTTACAACTTCTAAATAAGGAGAGGACGAGATCCGGCCCCTAGGAGTAGCAATGGACGAAGAAGGATGATCTATTGAAGAACTTACACTAATCCAAACTTTCTTGGATTCGTAGAAACATGTTGAAGGCTTCACACCAGTCGAGGGGTTTGAAAACTTTCTACGCCTTGTTCAGTTAAAGTAGTCCACCTACCAAGGCTTCCACCACTGGAAACATCCAGAAGGAAGAGTTTGAGTATGATGATCCTCTACACCTCTTATTTAAAGTTCAACAAAACCCCTATTTGAGCATTGAACAAGAGATTGCGGAGGATAAGTCAAACAATTGAAACATGAATAAATAAGGAAAGGAGTAACTAGAGAAGCAACCATCTCAACCTATTCATCCAAACAAGGAGCTTCAAGAGGAGCCACCTATAAAAAATACTAATGACCAGAGCAACATGGAATCTAATCAAGGAAAGGAGCAAGATGCCACTACTGTTCAAGAGATATTGGAGGAGTTCATAAAAAAAGATATATCATCTAGCTCAATATGAGACTTCAAGTCATACGCATAAAGATTACAACTCGAGTTGGAAGGAGAAAATTGACGTAGACGGCAACTTTGAACTTAGAAAAGA